TGGTTGGAGGGCGAGTGCGTGAAGCTGGAGCGGGGCCAGGCGACGGAGTTCGGCGCGTCGGCCGCACAAGGTGCAGTACAACGAGGAGCTCGGCCTGCACTACTGCACGAGGTGCAGTTGCATCGCGCGTGAGTCCATGCGGGCACTCGCGAAGGAGTGCGGCGAGCGCAAGCAGATGGGCGAGCAGAACCTCGCCAGGATCCAGCAGGGGCTCCAGCCTGGCACGAGCAAGCTCGCGCAGGAGTGGAACCGCAAGAAGAAGGAGATGATGATGAAGAGGTGACGGTGCGCCGTTTGCGCGCCTCACCCATCGTACTGCCCCAGTCTGGGGGACCAGCGCCGCAGGCCAGGTCTTACAAAAACCACCACCATCACTTGCAGCCCCATCATCCTCATCCTAATCACCATCATTATCCACATCATCAGTATCAGCATCAGCAGCATCAGCATCAGCATCATCAGCAGCAGCAGCATCATCGTCATCCTCACATTCCTATTATACCATTGCAGATCATCATCAACAACATCATCAGCATGACAATCATCGTAATCGTCAGCGTCATCGTCGTTGTCATCACCATCATCACCATCACCATCAACATCATCACCACCATCATCCTCATCATAATCAGAATCATCAACATCAACATCAACATCATCAAAAGCATCAGCATCAGCATCAGCATCATCGTCAGAATCAGCTTCGTCATTAACCTCATCACACCATATCATATCAAACCATATCATTGTACGGACAGTCATATCATATCATATCATATCACATCATGCCATGTCGTAGCACATCACATCATCATGCTCAAGATCACCATCCTCCTCATCGTCCTCCTCTTCTACCTCATCCTACTCCTCCTCCTCCTCCCCCTCCTCCTCCTCCTCCTTAACGTCCTCCTTATCCGCCTGCACCTCCCAAAAGCACCCAAACACGCTTCTGAACGTTGCTTAAGTAGGTCTAGATCCCATTCAGGGCTCCCCGAAAACCCAACACCACACGTCAGCGCACATGATGTGTTCCTTCCACCTTCCATGTGTTGCCCCTCCGGCAGCCAGAGAGGGATCCGAGACTTCACACCCAGACCCCGATGCTGCACAAACTGGGCCCTTTCATCCACTGCCAGCAGCAGCCCCGCCCACCTCACAGGGGCCCCGAGACGTTCTGGTACCATTCCCGCCTCACCGACCAAGACACGCCAACCAGGGCAGTGATGGGGCCAGCGGCAGAGGCCGTAGCCCTCCAGATCTGGCCGCTCCCGCCCTGCGGGTTGGGCCGTGCGAGACCTCTCTGACAGAGTGTTTGGCACAGTCTTTAGCCCCATTCGCCGGTGCCTGGTCAAAAACCTCCCTGAAAGTCTCTCCGAGGGGGCCCCACTCTGCCGCCGGCCCCCGCCCTCCTTCAAGGTCCGGAGCAGCCCGGGGACGACCCAAGAGCGCCCCAAGCCGGTCCAAGAGAGTCCCAAGCAGTCCAAGAGAGCCTCCAGACGGCTCCAGATCGCTCCAAGACGCCCAAGATTCGCCTCCAAACGGCCCAAAACGCCTCCAAGACGGCCAAAGAGGCCTCCAAGAGCACCCCCAAGAGAGCCTCCAGAGACAAAAATCCGCCGATCCAGCGTGTGAGTTTCTGAGAGCGTGGGCTTGAGCTCGCTCAAGCTTCGCTCTGCCGGGGGGGGGGGGACCTCATTTCCGACCTATTTCCGACCTATTTCCAACCTATTTCCGACCTATTTCCGACCTAATTCAGTGCTTCGCCCCACCCACCCCTCCAGAGCGGACCCCCCCCCCCTGCAGAGGGCCCCTCCCCCCCCCTCCCCTCCTGCAGCCCAGCCCCCCCCCCCTGCAGAGCGGACCCCCCCTGCAGCCCCCCCCCCCCCCTCTCAGAGCGGACCCCCCCCCCCCCCCCCTTCCCTGCACCCCCCCCTCCTGCAGAGCTGAGCAGACCCCCCTCCTGAGCGAACCTCCCCCCTGCAGCCCCCCCCTGCAGGCGGACCCCCCCCTCCCCCCCCTCCCCCCCCTGCAACCCCCCCCTCCCCCTGCAGAGCACCCCCCTCCTGCACTGCCTCCCCCTGCAGAGCGACCCCCCCCCCTGCAGAGCGGACCCCCCCCCTGCAGCCCAGCCCCCCTCCCCCCCCCCCAGAGCCGACCCCCCCGTGCAGCCCCGCCCCCCTGCAGAGCGGACCCCCCCCCCTCCCCTGCACCCCCCCCCCCCCCCTGCAGAGCAGACCCCCCCTCCTGCAGCCCCCCCCCCCTGCAGAGCGGACCCCCCCTCTCCCCTGCAGCCCCTCCCTCTGCCGAGCGGACCCCCCCTGCAGAGCAGACCCCCCCCCTGCAACCCAGCTCCCCCCCCGTCGTCGTCGTCGTCGTCGTCGTCGTCGTCGTCGTCGTCGTCGTCGTCGTCGTCGTCGTCGTCGTCGTCGTCGTCGTCGTCGTCGTCGTCGTCGGTCGTCGTCGTCGTCGTCGTCGTCGTCGTTCGTCGTCGTCGTCGTCGTCGTCGTCGTCGTCGTCGTCGTCGTCGTCGTCGTCGTCGTCGTCGTCGTCGTCGTCGTCGTCGTCGTCGTCGTCGTCGTCGTCGTCGTCGTCGTCGTCGTCGTCGTCGTCGTCGTCGTCGTCGTCGTCGTCGTCGTCGTCGTCGTCGTCGTCGTCGTCGTCGTCGTCGTCGTCGTCGTCGTCGTCGTCGTCGTCGTCGTCGTCGTCGTCGTCGTCGTCGTCGCTCGCGTCATCGTCGTCGTCGTCGTCGTCGTCGCTCGTCGTCGTCGTCATCGTCGTCGTCGTCGTCGTCGTCGGTCGTTGTCGTCGTCGCTCTCGTCGTCGTCGTCGTCGACGAATTCGTTTTCGTCGTCGTTTTCGTCTTCCTCGTCGTCGTTCATTCCCACAGGCACCCGGAGCGCCCCGGATCGGCGGCACTGGCCGGAGGCCACTACAATTATAGATTTGTCGATGGTTTTGGAAGGATTTCCGCGTTCTCGCTATTTCGGCTTACCGACGCTCCAAGACTGCCCAAGAGGCCCCCAAGATCGCCCCAAGACGGCCTAACAAGCCCCCAAGAGGGCTCCAAGACAGCGCAAGAAGGCCCCAAGACGGCCCAAGAGGCCCCCAGAACAGCCCAAGAGGGGCCCCCGGACGGCCCCACGAGGGCGCCCAGAAGGGGAACCCAAATGAACATTTCGAGCTTTCGGTCCCAGGAGGCCCCCAGGAGGCTCTAAGAGTCCCCCAGGAGGCCCCCAAGAGGCTCCAAGAGAGCCCAAAGAGGCCCGAAGAGGGCCCAACAGGCTCCCAAGAATCCCCCAGGAGGCCCCCAAGAGGCCCCTAAACTCCCGCGCAGAGGCCCCCGAGAGCCCTCTCGAGAGACACCAAGAAACGTCCATGAGGACTCCGACCCAAAACCCAGGCACGGTGGCGGGATGGGCCGACGGCCATTTGATCCGCCGCCCCCTGCTTGCAGGGGTGCACGGCGTGCTGGATGATTCAGTTTTGGTTTTGGTTCTTTTTCTAAAAGAACTCCCCAGTGGGCTTCGGCCCGTCCCGCCGGCCACCCGCGCGTTTCCCAAAATGCGTCTGTCAATGCCCAAAAACGGCCGTTTCGCTCGGGACATCCTCAAAAAATCGCGAAGATGGCCCAAGATGGCCTCCAAGTCCGCCCGAGATGGTCCAAGACGGCCTCCAAAACGGCCCAAGAGAGTCCAAGACGGCCCAAGACGGCCCAAGAGGCCCCCCAGAGGCCTCCCAGACGGCCCAAGAGGCCTCCAAGAGGTCCTCCAGGAGAGTCCGAAGAGGCCAAAATCATTGATTTTCCATTGGTTTTTGAAGGATTTTGGCATTTGCGCCTTTTCGGCTCTCCGACGGCTCAAGACGGCCCAAGAAGCCCCCAAGATCGCCCAAGAGGCCCCCAAGAGAGCCCCATGATGGCCCAAGTGGCCTCCAAGATGGCCCCTAGAGGGCCCCAAGAGGGCCCAAGAGGCCTCCAACACGCCCAAGATGGCCTCCCAGACGCCCAAGATGGCCTCCAAGACGGCCCTGGAGCATTCCAAGCGGGCCCCAAGTCGGCCCATAGAGGCCCCCCAAACGGCTTCCGACGGCTTCAGACGTGCCAGGAACCCACCAAGATGGCCGAAGTTGGCTCGAAGCTGGCCCGAGACGGCCCAAAAAGCCCCAAAGATCGCCCAAAGCTTGCCCAAGAGGCCTCCAAGACGGCCAAGATGACCTTCAAGATGCCCACGTGTTCCCCGAAGGCTTTCCAAACCGATTCGGGGAACACGTGGTCCGATAGCTTGGCAGGTCTGGCCTCAACGTTCGGCCACATAGGCGCTTCCAAAAAGGCAGGGGGCGGCGGTGATTCGCCGTAGGCGTCTTCGACAGCTGAATACGCGCCGCGCTGCGACTTCCGATGCTGCGCACCACTTCGGCAAACTCCCAGGGAGCGGCCGGTGATGCGCCGCCGGCGTCCTCGATGATCATGGTGACAACGCCATGGTGAGAGGAGGACGTGGGCGAGGTGAGATGTGGTAGCGTGCGTTGTCCTTGGAGGCGCGCGTCCGACCCAAACATATGGTATACCCATCTTGTAGTATATCGTTTCCCAAGCGGTGTGGCCAGAAAGCGCCCGCCACGAATCGCACTCTCGACAGGACAACGGGGCGGGCCACGCACACAATTTTTGAAGTCGGCGGCGCAGAGGGACCTCGGGTGCGGTCGGCAGATGGAGGTGCCAATTGCGAACGAACTTAGTCGAACGCGCATTGATGGAAGAGTCCAGCCACAGCTAAGCAGGTTGGTGGTGATGGAAAGATGAGGCACTGCAAAGCCAAAGCGCAGCGGCCAAGCATTCCGCGGAGCTAAGCTTGACACCAGGAGTTGAAGCGCAGGCAGCAGTCTGGGGCCACGACCACACACACACACACAACACACACACACACAAAAACACACACGCACACACAAAGAGGATGATGACCAGGAGGCGGGGAAAGAGGAGAAGGAGGAGGAGGTCAAGCGCATCGAAGCTTGCTCGAATTTCTCCGCAGCGTCAGTGTCGGCACATGGAGGAAGGTACGATCCCCCCCCCCGCTCGAGCAGCGGACCTCGGCCAGCGGTACCGACGGGAGCCCTATCTTAGGGCCCTCAGCGGCGCCGGGACCAGGAGTACCCAGCCTTGGGGGCCCAAACAAGGTACCGACCCCGCTGATCCCTGGACCTCTCCCGGGTTGCGCTCTGACCTGAATTTCGGGGCGACTTCAGCCATGGCGACGAGGCCCCCTGAGCAAGCCTGATGCACTGCGCAAACGAGGAAGGATAGCGGCGTCGCTTCTGTTTCCTTCGACCACGCCCAAGGGTGACCCTGGGCAAGAGTGACCTCAGGTGCGCAGCTTCAGGAGGCCGTGGGGTGTCCGAACTCGAGCGCGCAAGCCAGTGCGGGGTGTGGACCCCTGCGGGCCCGCACCAGAATGGCCACTCTGGCGAAGGGCCACTCCGACCCCCGACCCCTGGCGTCATGACTCGTCGTGGCGCCGACCCCCGGAGGTCTCGACCCCTTCCCCGGGGCGGGCTGCTCATCTTGAGCCGTTGTGCGAGGGCCCCGCGGCCCTGCAGGGGCCCCCGGGGGCCGACGACGGCGAGAAACCTCCCGCGGGGACCCCTGCATGACTCGAGGGGGTCCGGGGCCCGTCGCCGGGTCCTGCCCTGCGGCCTGCTGCAGCGGCGACCCCTGGCCGCCCGAGGCAGCAGTGCGCACCAGCCGCTCCCCCCGCAGCAGCGGCGGCAGCGCCCGGCGGGGCCCGCCGAGGGCGGCGAGCGAGGGCGCTGCTGGCAGCCGCTCGGGCGGCAGGGCGGGCTCGTCGGGTGCGCCGGGGAGGGGGGCCCCGGAAGTGCGATGTTTTCACAACGGGCGCCGTTGCAAGGCTTCGGGCCCCCAGGCCATCACAGATCGACCTGGCTCCAAAAAGAACGCAGAGATATGGGCTCGGGGCACCCGTCGTGTCTTTGCTGCGTGCGATGTTGCAATTCCCTACCATCCTGTGTTGGGTCCTCGTTTTGAAGAGACAGCGCCCCGCGTCTCCTCCTCTCCCCCTCTCCTCCTCCTCCCCCTACTCCACCCCCTCCTCCCTCTTCCCATCCGCCTCGTCATTGTCATCGTCAGCGTCATCATCGCCATCATCATCGCCATCGTCATGATCCACATCATCATGAGCATCGCCATCGGCATCGTCAGCGTCGCGCCCCTCGCACGGTTCGTGGCCCCACAGGCAGCTCCACCGAAGGCCCCAGTGGCAGGGTCCGCATGCGGGGACGGCAACCCAATTCGGCACAGCCCTCAAACGGTTCGTGGCCCCATAGGGGGCTCCACCGAAGACCCCAGTGGCAGGGTCCAAATGGCGGCGCCGTCCCATTTTCGCGCACCCCTCACACGGTTCGTGGCGCCATCCGGAGCTCCACTGCAGGCCCTACTGGCAGGGTCCACATGGCGGCACCGCCCCATGTTCGCGCACCCCTCACACGGTTCGTGGCGCCATCCGGAGCTCCACTGAAGGCCCCACTGACAGGATCCACATGGCGGCGCCGCCCCATTGTGGCGCACCCCTCACAAGGTTCGTGGCCCCATAGGGAGCTCCACCGAAGGCCCCACTGGCAGGATCCACATGGCGGCGCCGCCCCATTTTGGCGCACCCCTCACACGGTTCGTGGCCCCATGGGGAGCTCCACCACAGGCCCCAGTGGCAGGGTCCACATGGCGACGCCGCACATATTCTGGCGCACCCGTGACACGGTTCGTGGCCCCATAAGCAGCTCCTCCAAAGGCCCTTATGGCAGGGACCGCATGGCGGCGCCGCCCCACTTTTGCGCACCCCTCACACGTAGGGAGCTCCACCGCAGGCCCCAGTGGCAGGGTCCACATGGCGGCGCTGCCACATTGCGGCACACCCCTCACACGGTTCGCGGCCTCATACGGAGCTCCACCGAAGACCCCAGTGGCAGGGACCGCATGGCGGCGCCGCCCCATTTTCGCGCACCCCTCACACGGTTCGTGGCCCCATAGGGAGCTCCACCGAAGGCCCCAGTTGCAGGGTCCGCCTGGCGGCGCCGCCCCATTTTCGCGCACCCCTCACGCGATTCGTGGCCCCGGGAGCTCCACCAAAGACCCCAGTGGCAGGGACCGCATGGCGGCGCCGCCCCATTGTGGCGCCGCCCTCACACAGTTTGTGGCCCCACAGGGAGCTCCACCGGAAGCCCCAGTGGCAGGGACCGCATGGCGGCGTCGCCCCATTTTGGGGCACCACTCGCACGGTTCGTGGCCCCATAGGGAGCTCCACCGAAGGCCCTACTGGCAGGGTCTACATAGCGGCGCAGCCCCATTTTGGCACACCCATCACACGCTTCGTGACCTGATAGGGAGCTCCACCGAAGGCCCCACTGGCAGGATCCACATGGCGGCGCCGCCCCATTGTGGCGCACCCCTCACACGATTCGTGGCCCCATAGGGAGCTCCACAGAAGGGCCGCGCACGGGGCTTGGGCCACCGTGGGTCCCCCTCCTCCGTCTTATATGCTTCGCGGTACTCGCGGCTGCGTATGGTTGGACCCTTCGTCAGGCAAATTGTTCCGCAACGTCGGATCTCAGGGCAGCGCGGGGCATCATGGCCGGAGGCACGTGCGCGGACGAGGGCCCAGGCCTCCGACGGTACGTTTTTCCGAGCTGGGCGCCTGCCCTCGGTGTCAGCCTCGGGGGGCCGCCATCCAAAAAGAATCCGGGACGGAAAACTCCCACCAGGGAGGGGTCGGGGACCTCTGGGGTGGGCATTGACAAAAATCATACTTCATATCGTCGGATGCATGGGGGGAGGGCCAGGGGGCCGGCTGATAGAAGAGGCGGGGGCCACGAAGGCTGGGACGTGGCCTAGGCCATGATAATCCACACACACACACAGACATAGACACACACACACACACACAAACGCACACACAAACGCACGCACACATACACACACACACACACACACACACACACACACACACACACGCACACACACACACACACACACACACACACGCACACACACACACACACACACACACACACACACACGCACACACACACACACACACACACACACGCACGCCCCTACGGTCGGCGGCTGTCAGATCGCCAGATCGCTCCTTGCTGGCCACTTCTGGGCCACTCGCGGCGTTCAACCTGGAACGGCCGCGGTGGCCCGCCGCCGCGTCGACATGACGCGAACATACCATTGGCCTCACTGGTAAGTAAAGCCTCGGGCTGCGCACAGACAGCCCCCCACGTAGCCCCGGGGGAGCTCTACGGACCCCCCGAATAGCCCAGGGCGGTTTCCAAACCCCAACTCTGGGGTGCGGAGCGCCGCCGGAGGCGGCGCCAGGCTGCTGAGACCGCCCGTGGCTACTCGGGTGGGCTGTTGAGGCCAGCCAGGACTATCCCAGGGGCCACCCCCTGAGATCCGACGCTACAGATAACATGCAAGATCGCGAAAAATCACGACCAGAGCCTCAGCCCCCGTCCTTCCGCGTCATTTCTCGCGCCGGATCGACCTGTGAGGGTCCCGGGGCCCGAGACCGGGCGAGAACGCCCACGGAGAAGAAACTGCAAGGCCAGGATCGCAGGGCCCGTGCGCCACCCGAGGCCTCCCCGGCCCTCACCCCCTCCCAGGCGCCCCCGAGCTCGGGGGTCCAGCCCCCGCCTCCCGGGCTCACGCGCTCCGCGACCACGCCGCCCTCCACGTCCTCGGCCTCCAGCTCGCGCAGCGCGCCGCCGACGGCGGCGGCCACCGCCAGCTCCGCGTCCAGCGGGCTCAGGGGCCGCGACCAGGCCCCTGCCGGGCGTGCGCGCCGCGCCGAGAGGGGCGCGCCGCCGTCCGCGCCCTCCTCCTCCAGGGCCGAGCGGACGGCAGCCTCGACGGCGGCCCTGGCCTCGCGAGGCGACCAGGCCCCGGCTCGACCCGGTGCCAGCGCCAGGTAGATGGCCAGGGCTTCTCGGTAGGACACGAGGTCGCCCGCCCCGAGGAGTGCCTCCTGGAGGCCACGCGATGCGCCCGCGTCGAGCACCACCTGCATGGAGAGCAGCAGCGGCCGCACCTACTCAGGACTCTGGAAAAGTGAGCTGGGATATACACACAATTCGATGACATTACGAAGCTGGCGGCATGGTTTGTGGGAGGGGGGAGAAAGAGGGGAGGGGAGGGGAGATGAAGGGGGAGGGAAACAAACAGCAGCACGAGAAGGGAGGAGGAAAAGGGAGAAGGGCGGAACGGGGGCATGCAGGGGGGGGGGAGAAACAACGGGAGGGCAGAGTGGGGAGGATACAACGGGAGGATCCAACGGGAGGGTACAACGGGAGGGCCAAGACAGGCTAGGTGCGCTCGAACTAAATCTGACATCCTAGCCCTCACGTCCATCGCTGCCCATTGCGCTGACTTGTTCTCTATCTGCCGACGCGTCTCACTGCGGACCTGGACTTCCCAAAAAAAAATCATGGGGTTGTTCGCAGTCGGAACAAGGGGATTTTGCGCGCAGTCAGGGAGGAAGAGGAGGTGGCGGAATGAGCAGGATGATGAAGAAAAGAGGACGAGGATGAGGAACGATGAGGACGAGGACGAACAGCAGCAGGAGCTGGAGTGGAAAAGGCAGGACACTGGGCAGGAGAACCAGGGGAAGATGGAGGAAGAGAAAGAATCGGGGCGACAATGACGAGCAAGGACTCAGATCCAGAGAAGAAGCCCGCGCCGGGGCGACAGGGGATCCTCCAGAGGGGGTTGCATACGTAAAGGGCGCTTTTCCTGGCAGCCTGCCACGGGGTGTAAGCATGCATTGCAAGCGGGGCGCGGCGCCACGAGCTCGCGGCCCCGCCACTTCCGCCGTTTGAACTGCAATCGCCCCCGCGCCGCCGAGAATCGCGGGCAGCCTCTCGACACCCAGGAGCCCGCGCACAGGCGCAGCTTGGGCGGGGCGCGCCGCGCGAGCCCGCGCGGCAACCCCGCGGCGGCCAGGCGCGCGCACGCGGGGGCAGTCGCATATCAGAGGCGCGCGCGCGCGCATTCACCCGGACAACTGCACGCGTGCCCGCTCGGCGAAACGGACGCACAAACTTCCGCCCCAAAACTCGCTTCGCTTCCCCATCCCCGCGCAGGGCGACGGGGGAGAGGCTCGCACGCCGCCGCGCCGAGAGAAGCTGGAAGGCCCACTGAACCTCTGCCTGAGTGGGAAGGAACTGCGAACGAAGTCCGCCGCGAGCAAAGTCCGTCAAGCCCCCCTGGACAAAACGGACAGGCAGCTTCTGGAACGGCGAGGGACCTGGCACGCCTGGCGCCGCGCAGCCACCGCTTGCATAACGGTTCCCATAGGGCTCTCGGCCCCAACCCCCGCCCTAACGGCGGAACGCAACAACGGCCACACTCTCGACACCGCCCCCCCAAGAGCCGACGCGCCCGCCCCTCTTCCGCGATCCTTCGCTCGATACGATCCCCAGCAGTCCGAAGCTGGCAGTTCTCCATCCAGTCGACCGCATTCCTGCGCAGTTTCCAACGACTGCTTGCACCGTCGCGTCGCGCGCCCGCGACGCCTGGACCCCCGCGCGCGAATTCCGCCGAAAGCTGCGCGCTGCAGAGCCGCAACCCTGCAACGCCCAGGGACACGCCCATGGCGGCCGCAAAATAGCCATCACCCGCAAACTCGGCGGTGGGCATGGCGCGCTGTGCGATAATTTTCCGCGGCAGCCCGTTACGCCTAAGAGCCCGTTCATGAGAGCAGAACTTGGGCTCTCGCGCGTGCTTTCGCCGAGTTGGACGCGCGCCATGTGTCCCTCTACATTGATCTCGCGCGCGCACGGGCTGAGATCGGCCCGTTCCAGATCCAGCTTGGCCGGCAACCCTGCGACACCCGGGAGCCCGCTAAGGGGGCCACCATTGCGCCCACCCGAAGTCACGACGAGGCCCGGCGCGCCCCTGCGCCAGTTAATTCTCCGACACCACTGGAACGACGAAGGGTCCATCCACAAGAACCCCCATTGCACTCGCGCGCGCTCAAGCCGAGCCCGGGCGCACCCCCGCGTCGCTGCCCCAGCGCCCCCGCGACGTTCAGGAGCCCGCTGGCGGGAACGACCGTGCTCTCTATCGCGCACTCGCAGTGCGTCGGCGCGATCTTGCGCGAGCCTGTCGGGCAAGCCCGCGCCATGGAGCCCACTCGCGGGGGCCAGCCCAGCGCTCGCCCGCGCGCCGGCGGCGGGCGCGGCGCGACGATGCACGGGTTTCTCTGGCAGCCCTGCGCCGCCCAGGAGCCTATGCACGGGAGCTCCCGCGGCGCCCACGCTCGCGCCCGCGCTGGGCGAGCCTCGCCATCGCACTGCACTCGGCAACCAAATTTCGCCACCCGTTCACGGGGGCCGCGCGCCGGCGGAGAGCTCGGCGCGCTCTAGCGCCGGCCGCGCTGCACGCCCCGGGGCTGGAGCTCGACAGCGTTTTCGCTTACGCCTTGTTCTCGCTTTCCTTCGCCCTGCCTCTACTTCGAAACGAAATCCAAAAGAAAACGGACCGCGAAATCGCCGCGCGCACTTTCCTGGTCGAGCCCTGGCCCACTCATGGGGGCCATCATTGCATCCATCCGAATGCGCGACGGGGCTCGGCGCGTCCTTGCGCAAGTTGCCCGACAACCCTGGGGCGCCCAGGACGCGGCTCATACGATCCACCATTGCACTCGCGCGCGCGCTCGCGCCGAATCCGGGCGCGCCCCAACATCAACGCCCCCGCAACCCCGTGACGCCAGGTGCCTACGCTTGGGAGCAACCGCCCTGAAGCCCGAGCGCTCGCGGGGGTCGGCGCGCTCTAGCGCGGGCCTTCCCGGCAACCCTACGCCGCCCGGCCTGGGGCCCCTGGGCCGCCCAGGAACACACTCGCAGGAGCCAGCCGCGCACTCGCCCGCTCGCCAGCGGCGGGCGCGACGCGACGTTGCACCAGTTGTTCCGGCAACCCTGCGTCGCTCAGGAGAGCATTCGGGGGGGCGCCAGTGCACTCACGCGCGAACTCGCGTCGAGCACGCCCCGCCGTTGCGCGGCATTTTCCGGCCAACCCTGCGCCACGGGCGGCAATGGGAGCCGATTCAAGCACATGCTTTCGCTTCCAGCAACGCCGCGCCGCCCAGATGCGGGGGCGCACCGAACATCGCACCGCCCAGGGCTGAGCTCGAGAAGCCAGATTAGCGGCATGCACGCGCATGTTTCCCCGCGGCCGCTGCGGCCCGGATTGTCCGCGGGCCGCAATGGCAGCTCCGGGGGCGGACGCCCGCTTGAATCAGAGACAGGGGAGGAGCGCGGCCATGCAGCGGCGCCACAGCGCCCCTGGGCCCAGCTTGGACTTGGACAGTTCAGCAGCCGAAGGGGCCGCGGCGAATTTTCCCCGAGGCGCACCACGAGAAACCTCACGCGCGAAAGCAGGACGCACACCAAACCACCCGTCAGCGCGAACCCACGGCACGCGGGCCAAAATCGAACGGAGCAAGCTCGAGGGCTCGGGCAGAAGTGTCTTTCCCCCCGTCGGGGGGCGCCAAGGCCACCACCCCTCAACATGAACTCTCTGCGGGCTGCCTCCGGAAAGTCACGAAGGTTCAGAACAGGAACGACGGGGAGCACGGCCGGCACTGGACAGGCGGATGGGCCGCGCCAACGAACGCGCACAAGACGTCGACGCATTCTTCGAGACAGTGGACACGACCGTCAGCTGCATCCACATCGGCGACTGCTTACGCACTGCCGATATACAAAGCTGCCCTTGATTGGCGGCCGCGCGACGCAGACCCACGCCTCCTCGCGCCCCCCCCCCCCCCCCACGAGAGGCGGCAGCTTGGACGAGGCCACGTCCTGAGAGAGCGCGACCCACCGCCGCTTCACTGCGGAAAATTCGCCCCCCTCTTCCTCCAAAACCCTGCCCCCCCCCTCGCCGAAAATCCCCCCCCTGGACCCCCCCCCCCCCCCCCCGGCACCCCCCCCCCCCCCCCCCCCCCCTCCTGCCCCCGCCCCACCCCCCTGCAAAACCGGGGGACGTCTGGTTTCGAACCCCCCCCCCAAGAAAACCAAAGGAAGGTCACTACCCGGTCCGGCCCCCCTCCTCCAGAAAACCAAAAGGGAGTTCACCGCCGGTTCAAAACCCTGCCCCCCTCCTCGAAAACCGGGGGGGGGCCACTACAGTTTCGAAGCCCCCCCCCTCCGGAAAACCGGGGGAGGTCACTGCCGGTTCGAACCCCCCCCCCCGGAAACCGGGGGAGGGGGTCACTACCGGTTCGAACAACCCCCCCCCCCCCTTCGCAACGGAAAACCCCGGGGGTCACTACCGGGTTCGAACCCCCCCCCCGGAAAACCGGGGGGGCCACTACCTGTTCGAACCCCTCCCACGCTCACCACCAGCAAACGACTCCCGGCCCCTACCACCGTCCGCACAACATCCCCCGCTGCTGTCCCCAGCTCCAGTGTCCTCACCACCACTGTCCCCGCTGGTTCCACCACCGCCCCTACTGTCCCCAGTGCCCCTACCACTGTCGCACTGTCCCCACTGTCCCCATCACTGTTCCCACCACGGTTCCACTCTCCCCACTTTCTCCACGGCCCCAACCACTGCCCGACTGTCTCCACTGTCCCCACTGTCCCACTGTCTCCTCCGCTGTTCCACTGAGATGTCCCACTGTTCCCACCACCGTCCCCACTGCCCCCACTACTGCCCCCACTGTACCTCTGCCCCATTGTCCCACCGCCGTCCTCGCCACCGCCCTCACCACTGTCCCCACCACCACTGTACCCTCCACCGTCCCACTGTTTCCACCACATTCCCACTGTCACCACACCAGTGCCCCCACCACCACCACCCCCACCACTGTCCCACTGTCCCTACTGTTCCCACCATTGTCCCCGCTGTCCCCACCCGCGCCCCCACCAGTGTGTCAATGTCCCCACTCCCCCCACCATTGCCCCACCACGGGCCCACTCCTCCCGCTTTCCACTGCCCCCGCCGCTGCCCCACTGTGCTGACCCAGCGCCCCCTGTCCCCATCACTGTCCCACTGCCCCCACTGCCCCCACCACTTTTCCCACTGTGCTACTGTCCCACCACTGGCCTCACCACCGCCTTCACCACTGCCCCCACCACTACCGCCCCCACCACTGTCCCACTGTCCCACACCACTGCCCCGCTGTCCCCTCGCCACTGGCCCCACCACGACCGCCCCCACCACTGTCCGCGCCACTGCCCCACTGTCCCCGCACCACTGTCCCCACCACCGCCGTTCCCACCACTGCCCCAGCATCCCTACCATTGTCCACCTGTCCCGACAAACGGGAATCGCTCGCCAGCCCGGCGGCGAATGGGGGGGAGGGGGGGTTCGAACCGGCGGTGGGGGAGGGGTTCGAACCGGTAGTAACCCCCCTCGGTTTTCTGGAGGGGGGGTTCGAACCGGCAGCGACCCCCCCCTCGTTTTTTCGCCAGCAGCGGTAGAACGCGCTCTTTACACGTGCTTCCCTTTCGCTTGTCGTCATCACGGGGGCCACGCGACCGATCTACCAGGGAGTTCCTGCGCCTCTCGGGTTCAACTGCGACTAGCGCCTCCTGGATATTGCGGGCGATTTTCGTTCGGGGCTGAACGACCCCACCCCTCGGTTCGGCCAGCGATTGCTGGAACGGCCAAATTTGCCCCCTGCGCGGGCGCCCCATTCAGCGCGAAGCCCCCGACCACGAGGTCCCATTCCGCCCCACAGGGCCCATTTACGTGGGCATTTGAAACCGCCCTCTGAATTGCCACCGTGGCCCGGGGGAAAATACAATCCCTGCAGACAGCAGACCATCGCAGCACTGGAGGTAGATGCTCGCCGCGCCCCCCTCGCGCGAAACCCAGCGCCTGACGCTGCAGAGCTCTATCCGCAAGCGCCGCCGGCCCCACCTCATCGGGGTCAACTTGGACGCGGCTGGCGCCCACGCTCATTGGAGCCGGCCAACCAAAGCGACCCCAATAGCACACCTATCTGACTCAAGTCAAAATATCGTTGAACGGGCGACAATCACTCGGAACACCACCAGCCCGCGTTCTGCACAACAGGGGGGGGCTCGCTGTCGACGCGGGGCCACACGTCACGGGAATGCGAACAGTCGGAGCCGCCCGCCAGGGCCAGCCAGAGCCTCTCCTCCGAAACCAATACCGCTACATGCGAAGGTTGGCCACCACACGCGCCTCTCCGCACGGGTCGTCTCAGGCGCATGGTCGGGCAATATCTCTGCGCTGGAAGGGCACAGCGTTGCGCGCCAGCGTCTGGAGGGCAGCGCCGAGGAGCTCCGAGGCCGGCGCGCCCTGTTCAAGGTGGAAAACAAGGCCGCGGAGAATCGCACCTGGCGCGGCGCCATCCCCCAGACTGGGCGCCCGGGGAAAGGCGCGGAGAGAGCAGAGCCCTAAGAGAGCCCCTGTTCGGTCTGGAGTTCTCCTTGCGGACTGTTGCAGCTGACGGCCGCACTTTGGTCAACAAAGTCCTGGCTGTCAGAATTGCGAGGAACGTCTCCGAGCGCGGGCGCGCCCCTTGCAGCACCCCCACCCATCGCCGCGGCGCTGTCTCCAGGAGGGGGCGAGTTTCGGGTCGCATATTCTGTCTCCACAACGACACTGCCCCGATGGCGCTGATAGGAGCGAGGAGCAGCAGGGATGACGGTCTGCCTATTTCGAGGAGAGGGTGGGACTAGCACGCTGTGGCAGACGAAACCCTGTTCGGTCTGGAGCTTCCCTTGCGGACCGTTGCAGCTGACGGCCGCACTTTCGGGAACAAACCCCTGACTGCCCGATTTGTGAGGAACGTCTTCGAGCGCGTGCTCGCCCCCTGCAGCCAGCCGAACTGTCGCCACGTTTGCAAAAAGGGGCGCGTTTTCGGACGCATCGTCGGCCTCCACGAAGACACTGTGCCTGGGACGCTGCTAGGAGTGAGTAGCTGGAGGGGCGCCTGCTTGCCTGCCTCCAAGACAGGGAAGGACCGACCCGCTGTGGCTGACTACCGCCTGTTCTGTCTGTAGCTGCCCATGGCGACTGCTGCAGCTAACGGCCGCACGGTGAGAAACGAAGTCCAGGATATCCGCAGATTGGCTATTGTCTGCAAGCGAAACGCCACCTTCAAATTTGCAACAGTCGTCGAGCGAGGCGCCAACCTCAGATGCGTGACCGTCTCCAAGCGGGTCCGCTCTGTGCCCAGGGAACGCGTTCGCAACGGCGTCCGCCGCGCGCCTAGCAGCCTGGGCTAGGTCCACGACGGCCGTCCGGAGGGAGGCCTGCGAAGCCCTCGCGCCGGCAGCAGCGCAGGCAATGGCGGCGGCAGCGGCAGCTGCGTCGGGCGCAACACTGGCGGCGCGGACGCGGGGAGCGTCGGCAGCGCCGGTGGTGCAGGTGGCGCCGGCCGCGGGCCAGCGAGCACGGACCGCGCCGTCTCGCCCGAGGACGTCGGCAGCGTCCGCGGCGCTGGCGGGGGTGCGCGCGTTTGCCGACCTGGCCGCACCAGCCGCCCGGAGGGCGCTGGCGGCGGAGGCCGCGGCGGGGCAGCCCAAGCCAGCGGCGCCAGCAGCGTTGGCTGCGCTCGCGGCGGCGGACGCGCCGCGGGGAGCGGTCGCGTCTGCCGCGCCAGCAACGCTCGTCGCGTTGGCCGCTCTGGAGAGCTCCGGCGGGCAGTCGTAGGCCGCGGCAGCAGCTTCCAAGCGGCGCTGGAAAACCGCGCGCATCTGCCGGCGCCGCCGCGCCGCCGCAGTCTCCATCACCTGGGCCTGAGCGCCGAACCTGAGCAAGGAGCGGGCTCGAGCCGAGACGGCTTGAGCCAGGGGCTACGGACGCTGGTGGGGTTACGCGAAGCGCCTAGACTGAAAAGGAGCAGCAGGATGTGGAGGGAGGAAGAGGAGGAGGTGGAGAAGGAGGAGGTGGAGGAAGAAAAGAGGGAGGAACGTAGAAGGAAGGGGGAAAGGAAGGAGGAATACGTGGGGGGCGTGGCAACGGTTCCGCCCCCCCCTCGCCTGCGAGGTGCATATGGCCGCTCCACCTCGGGAACCAACCTGGAACCCCGACCCCGCACTGAGCGAAAGGAGCACTCCCTCACCCTGAAACGTTGATTGCTCTGGCGCCTGGTGCGAGGGCGGCGGGGGACTGAGGCAATTGAGCACCCGAAAGCATCTCTGGCCCCGCGGCAGTCAATGTTTCATTCCCGCTCATCGTGAGCGTCTCCTTCGAATCCTTTTCTAGAATCAGCATTCCTCCTCGAGCAAAATATATTCCTTCGAGCAGGTTTCCCCATCGGATATCATCTTCCCCTTCTGAAGCTTCATTTCCACTTCGGCCAAGCTGGGGCCCCTTCGAGGACCCACCCACCCACTCGAAGCGAAAGCTCCCAATGCTGCCCTGCTTCGAACACCGCTTTTTGTTGCAGACGCTTGCAGGCCCGCACCCCCAGTGCAGGGGGACACTGACAGCCGCCCAGCAGGAGGGGCGGGAGACCCGGACCCCCGACGTCATGATTGCTTCATGACGTCGACCCCCAGAGGTCTCGACCCATTCCCCAGGACTGGCTTCTCGTCCCCGAATCGTTTGTTGACGGTCCCGCGGCCAGGGAAGGGCCCGCAGAGGCCGAAAAGGGTGAGAAACCTCCCGTCGTGAATTTCTCACGACTCGAGGGGATCTGGGGAGCAGGCCGCGGGACGAGGGCAGGGCCCCAGGCTGGCTCCAACCTGAAGGAGAGCGCGCCCCGGGGGAGAGCCGGTCCTCGACAGCCCTGGGCCGCCTCGCGCGGCGCAGGCCGCCTCCTGGACTCCCTCCCTGCAGGGCCCGCTCCCAGACGTCCGACGAGCGGACTCCTCCAGTGCGCGGCCCCGGGGGCCCCGACCCCTTCCCTGCGGAGTAGTTTTTCGACCCGGCTCTGTTTCTGATGGCCGCGGGACCCGACGACGGCCCGAGGGGCCAAAATCCACGAACACGGGATATCGTCGGAGATCTGGACTGCCCTCGCGCAGCGTCCGTTGCGGGCCGCCTTGGCTCAGCGCCGCGAAGGCCGCCTCTCGGGGCGGATGAAGAGGGGATAGCAGGGGCGAGAGCGAATCAGCCCACGTAGCTTGTAGCTGGTTTCTCCGGCACCTCCCGGCGCAGGCGGCGCCAAAGTCTCGAGGAACGAGGCCCAGCGGCATCCCCGAAACCAGCCGCAGACAGCAGAATTCGTAAACCTCCCCTCCTCCTCCTCCTCCTCCTCGTCCTCCTCCTCCTCCTCCTCCTCCTCCTCTCCTCCCTCCTCCTCCTCCTCCTCCTCCTCCTCCTCTCCTCCTCCTCCTCCTCCTCCTCCTCCTCCTCCTCCTCCTCCTCCTCCTCCTCCCTCCTCCTCCCTCCTCCTCCTCCTCCTCCTCCTCCTCCTCCTCCTGCTCCTTTTGTTCCCCCCTTTCGTCCGGCCCGAGCCTGAAACAGCGCCAGCCTCCCCTCCGTCGGCGCCCCTGGGCGCCAGCGCGCGGACAGGCTGCGCGGCGGCTCCCCGACGCCGGAGGCCTGGATCGGGGAGGGGGGGTCCACCAGGCAGGGAGGCGAGGGGCGGGGGAGGCGAAGGTAGGGAGGCGAGGGGCGAGGGGCGAGGAGGCGGAGGAGGAGGAGGAGGAGGAGGAGGAGGAGGAGGAGGACGGCATCGGGGCATCGCATCGGTCGACACTGTCCGCAGCTCGAAGCTCCAGCTCGAAGGGGGAGGAGGAGAAGATGGAGGAGGAGGAGGAGGGAGGAGGGCCACGAGCCCTCACAGGAAGAGGCAGAGAGAAAAGATGGGAAGAATGAGGGGGGGAAGGAGGAATAGGAGGGGGCGAGGTTTCTGGAGGTACGTGGTCTGGCTGACCGCCCCAGAAATTACCCGAGACGTACCCAAGCCCTCGTCGTCGTCGTCGTCGCAGCCGCCGCCGTCGTCGCCGTCGTCGCCGCCGCCGTCGCCGTCGACGCCGCCGCCGCCGTCGACGCGAGGCGACTATTCATATGAACACTCCATGTAAAAGATTACGTCCAGCGGCCTGTGCCTTGTGATGCAACAGCGCCGCGCATTAAATGACGGGACGGCGCCACGCTCCATGTGGGCACGCGCCACGTGGGCGCGCTGCACTCCGACATGCCTCCCATGAGCCCACGAAAGCGGCGGCTGTTGCACAGTTCGCAGCCCCCGAGGCAGCCGCGAAGTCTCAAATGATCTGCGCTGCCCTGCACTCCGCCGTGCCTCCCAAGAGCCCTCGAAAGCGGCGGCAGTTGCACAGCTCGCAGCCCCCAAGAGAGCCGCAAGGTCTTAAATTAGCTGCGTTGCCCTGCACTCCGCCGTGCCTCCCAGGAGCTCGCACCCTTTGTTTGATCAGGGAAGGTCTTGAGGGTCAAACTGCGTCGTTGGCCCCCGATGTACAACAACAGCAACAACAACACCACAACGATAACAACGATAACAACAACAACAACAACAACAACAACAACAACAACAGCAGCAACAACAGCAACAACAACAACATCAACGACAACAACAACGACAACAACAATAACAACAACAACAACAACAACAACAACAACAACAACAACCACAACAACAACAACAACAACAACAACAGCAGCAGCAGCAGCAGCAGCAGCAGCAGCAGCACCACCACCACCACCACCACCACCACCACCAACAACAACAACAACAACAACAACAACAACAACAACAACAACAACAACAACAACAACAACAACAACAATTACTAGCACGTGGGGACACTCCGTTCTCACCAGTGCCAGGGTTTTCATAGGAGGCGGGCAATACCCCCACTTTGTGGGGGGGCCGGTTCAAGCTCTACCAAATTTCCAAACGACTCTTCGCCACCACCCACACCCAGCTTCCCGCCCTATGACGTTCGGACACTTCACTTCGTGGCATGCGGACGACCGTGGCTACTATTCAGGGCCCCGCGGCCGACGACGACGGCGTGCGCGCGCGAAGAAAAAACGAATGTGTCCCGCATGGTATTATTTGACAGGGATGATGGCCCTGGCAGGTGCGCAACCGTTGTCGCAGAAGTTCGAAAAAGTTGCTCGCAAAAGCCCGTTTGACAGAAATGTTTAAAAAGTGTTGGGTTTCCTACGAATCCGCAAGAGCGCGCGGGATGAAATTTTGACATTTTTTTTTTGAAAAACCATTGGTTTTTTGATGTTTTTATGTTAAAATCGCTACGAAAACTAAGGTTTTGGAAGGATTTCGTCTTGCGCGCGCGAATGTCCACTTTACCTTATTTTTTGCAAGGGATTCTTGAAGTTTGGTTATGTTAGAACAAGAAATGTCCACTTTAGCTTATTTTTTGCAAGGGAAAACCGATCGTAACAACACAACCGGATCCGGACCAACCCGTTTTGCCTGAGACTTCCTCACGAAAATGATGAAAATGAGGCTGCGGCCTAGGCGCGGCGGGGGGGTCGTGCACCAGGGGTCCCAACAATAATTATTCTTTAGAAGTAATAATGTTCAACAACAACAACAACAACAACAACAACAACAACAACAACAACAACAACAACAACAACAACAACAACAACAACAATTACTAGCACGTGGGGACACTCCGTTCTCACCAGTGCCAGGGTTTTCATAGGAGGCGGGCAATACCCCCACTTTGTGGGGGGGCCGGTTCAAGCTCTACCAAATTTCCAAACGACTCTTCGCCACCACCCACACCCAGCTTCCCGCCCTATGACGTTCGGACACTTCACTTCGTGGCATGCGGACGACCGTGGCTACTATTCAGGGCCCCGCGGCCGACGACGACGGCGTGCGCGCGCGAAGAAAAAACGAATGTGTCCCGCATGGTATTATTTGACAGGGATGATGGCCCTGGCAGGTGCGCAACCGTTGTTGCAGAAGTTCGAAAAAGTTGCTCGCAAAAGCCCGTTTGACAGAAATGATTAAAAAGTGTTGGGTTTCCTACGAATCCGCAAGAGCGCGCGGGATGAAATTTTGACATTTTTTGTTTGAAAAACCATTGGTTTTTTGATGTTTTTATGTTAAAATCGCTACGAAAACTAAGGTTTTGGAAGGATTTCGTCTTGCGCGCGCGAATGTCCACTTTACCTTATTTTTTTGCAAGGGATTCTTGAAGTTTGGTTATGTTAGAACAAGAAATGTCCACTTTAGCTTATTTTTTGCAAGGGAAAACCGATCGTAACAACACAACCGGATCCGGACCAACCCGTTTTGCCTGAGACTTCCTCACGAAAATGATGAAAATGAGGCTGCGGCCTAGGCGCGGCGGGGGGGTCGTGCACCAGGGGCCCCAACAATAATTATTCTTTAGAAGTAATAATGTTCAACAACAACAACAACAACAACAACAACAACAACAACAACAACAACAACAACAACAACAGCGACGACGACGACGACGACGACGACGACGACGACAACAACAACCACACCAACAATCATTTTAAGACCGTTCGCCCTTATATGCTCGCGTGTCCAATAACGCGTATTTCCCTAACCCTCGATACCCGCCCTCTTCGTCTTCGATCAAACCCCTTTTGGGGGGTATATCTTTCTTCCCTGCAGGCCGGGCCCTGGCAAGCGGCGGGGCGGCCGCGGACCGTCGGCCTGGCCAGCGGCAGCGATGATCGGCGGGGCGGCCGCGGACCGTCAACCCGACCCCAAGAGGGACGGACAGGGGCCCGACCACGATGACGACGACGACGACGACGACGACGACGACGACGTCGAAGACGACGGCGGCGACGGCGACGACGAGCGAAAGCGAGAGCGAGAGAGAACGACAGCAGGGCCACGAAGGGCACGAAGTAGGCCACGAAGGGCGACAGCGGGGACACGAAGGGAATGCGTATGGGGCCACGAAGAGTGCGAACGAGCGGGGGCGACGAAGTGCAGATAATGCGGGGCCACAAAAAGCAACTATGGGGCCACTGAGGGTAGCAACTGGGCCACGTAGGACGATGAGGGGGACACAAATGGCGACAGCGGGGCCACGAAAGGCATGCACATGGGGCCACAACGGGCGCGACTCCTGGGTGCCTGGGTGTCGGGAGCGCGGCGCTTGGGCAAATTGCAAGAAACTCCAATGCAAGGATATTCTTCAGTAGGTTGCAAGCAAGTCTCCAGCGAGAGCGCGACTCACAAGCTCCGGGATAGCGATTCCTGAATAGATTATAAGGAAGTCCCGAGCGAGAGCGCGATTCCTAAATAAAATGCGAGGAAGTCTCGGGCGGGAGCGGGGGTCCTGCCTAAATTGTAAGGAAGTCTCAGGCGGGAGCCGTTGTTGTTGTAACACGGGGGCCAAGGGCCCAGTTTGAACAGGAAGACTTCCCCTGTCAAAAAACAGGGTGCGAGCGTCGAGGGGCACATTTTGATTAAGAAAAAACAAGATGCACCGGTGGGGGGGGATCAACAATAATTATTCTTCAAAAATAAAAATTCAACAATAACGGCTCCCGCCTGATACTTCCTC